TTTTTTAATACGTATTCTCTTTAAAAGAATATTGTTCTTGTATATAAAAATTATTAGTTTAGAAGATATTTCAATTTCAATTTTGTAAAACTTGAAGTAAAAAAGAATCACTTTGCATATTCCTCTTACTTCTTGTACAATATTAATTGTTAGGTATACATGAGTTAATGTTTTTTTTTTTTATAGAGAATAGAGCCGTATTGATTAATATATTAAAAAATATATAATTTTATTTAAGGAAACAAAGTTGACTTTCACATGAACTTTACGCATCCACTCATGGAAAAATTAATAATACAGGAATACGTCTCCCTTGACATTATTCAACTTTTATCCGAAACATTTTCTATTACACCGTAATAAACACTGAGGAAATGAAGATATCGAATGAAATATCTTTTTTTTTATTCTCTATATCGAAAACTATAATACTTAATCAATTTTAAATCTGATATTAATTATATAAAAAAGCAGATGAATAAAAAAGAAGAGTATATTTTAAACTGATCAATTTTCCACATCATTGTCAACACGATGAGTACATTAATACATTAAAAGAAATATATATCGATATGAAAATAAAAAAAAATGCGAGATTACTTTGCAATTTTCGAAAATACGTTTATTTACACAAATATCAAACATACGCTTACGATACATCTACTCGATACCATTTAATTTTACCCCATAAAATTTCATACATCCACCGATTAAAAGCTATGGCTTAAAACCCAGCTGCGTCAAATCCCCTAATATATTTTCTGTGTGCATCGAAATTGTGAATACATTAAACGAAGGGTATTCGATCTCCACGCTTCGTGTTACATTGTGTACAAATACAACTCGTCCCAGATCGTTCCGATTAAAAAAAAAAATTCCTCATGATGAAATTCATGATGAAATTGTTGACGGTTCGTAACGAGTTCGAAATTTTCAAACAAAGATCTTTCAAGCGCGTGTACGATCGTTCAACGAACAACAATAATAATAAAATGTCTATAATGCACAGTCAATAAAAGTTAAAACGGTTCTACATTCACACACAGATTGTGAATTGAAAGGGGGAGGGAGTAAGGGAGGAAGAGGAGGAGGTGGAGGTTGGAAACGCGGTTTCGAAAGGAATGATTGGCAATTTAATAAAGTTCTTTAGTTTTTCCAGGGGGAGGAACGATAACCGGTGATGATAACACTCACCGTCAATCCAACGTCACGCTCCCAATAGTCGTCCAGTCTTCTCTGTTCGAGCCCCGGCCGTCGAGAGCACACCGAGCGTCACATTTTTGGTCGTCTGTTTCCGGTAATCGGCCCTTCGATCGATCAATTTTGACGGGTTGTCGGGCCAGAGCGGATCATCAATTCCTATCGTGGACTATGTCGTCTGCGCAAAAAAAAGAAAAAGGAAAAAGAAAAGAAAGAAAGAAGGAAAGGGTAATAAGAACGACGTCAGACGAGGAGGGAAATACCTCCTCGAGGTACGAAGCCACGTGGTTTAATCGGCGTTAACCGATTTCGCCGATCGATACGTGAAATCGAATCTCTCCCCCACCCTCGGAGGGAAGCGAGCAACGTAACGACTCGTGACAACGAATTGGATTTATATTCGTTCTGTCGGACGAAGCAACGAGACAACAGAAAAATTGGCCCAATAAAACTATAAATGACTGGCAGTGATTTATCTTCCGCCGGATCGATTCGCGCCGATTCTAATTCGAATCCAGCTCTGACTCTCTCTCTCTCTCTCTCTCTCTCTCTCTCTCTCTCTCTCTCTCTCTCTCTCTTTGTTATTTAGATTTAGACAGAGCCATCGATTCGAGCTTTCGCCCGATTCGTATTTATTTTACGATCTCGGGATTGAAATGCTTGTGTGTACTTCATAAAGCAATGTAAATGTGTTAATTTTATATATAAACGTATTGATCAATAGCCGACATGGAAATGAATGACATTGAATCATTTATTACGAAAGTTATGTAAATCGGATCTTTCTTGTATTTGTTTCTTGTATTATCTCATTGGGATAGTTAAAATTTTGTATCTTCATCGAATTAAAAATATTATTAAAGAATAGCGAGTTTAATTCATTTACCAATGAATTTAAATGGATATATGTAAATTTTAAACTAACTTTGTTTATGTATATAAGATATAGTAGGATATAGTAAATATTTTTACTGTATGTATATAAGAATAAGAAAGTATTATTTAATCTCAATTTTTTTTATTTTAATTATTATTTTTATTTTAATTAGATTAGATTTTGTTTATTTAAGTGTAATTGTAAATAAGAGGGAAAAGCGATAATGTGGAAAATGCTGGTAAATTGGTAACCTTCAATAAAATCAATATTAAACTGATATCTGTAATTTAATATTGGAATATATTGTTTAGCAAAAAAAAATGACATTTAACAGATTTCAAATATATTCAGTTTTTTAAACATTTTCATGAAATCAAGAAATTTTTTTTTTAATATTTTATATATCATTTAGATAGTTTGATATTTATTCATTGTAATAATAAATTTTACAAAACCTTTTGATTATTTATAAATATAATAAAAAAACATTACATTTACTATTGCTTATATTTATATTAGTAATGTCATAGTTCATACTTTATATTAATAATAAGAAAAATAATAATAATATTAAATTTACTAAATATATTTGTAATTAAATGTTTTTCTTTTTATATGAATGTGAAAAGAATTAAATCAAAATTAAATTTAAATCATTTAAATGCATTAATTTTGAAATAACAATAAAAAAACTAGAGCTCCACATTACCACTTTTTCCTATATATTACACAATTTTATTCTTTAGCTTTTCTCGGTATTTAATTAGATCACGAAAAGTGGACTTGCTCCACTTTCAAAATAAATGAACGTTCAATGCCAATTAAAGAACTTAATATTGATAAAAGAATATTAATATCTTAAAATATAATAAGGAAATTATTTATAAATAAAAAGTTCATACTGAATAATAATAAATTCTTCATTTTCTCAATTTTCATCAAAAATGGATTTATTCTACCTTTATAATAAATAGTTCAATTTGTAATTTTGCTTTCTTAATATCATATCAGTTATAAACTTGATATTTTTTTCTTAACAATTAATTTTTATCGTCCAATCTTATAAAATTCTAAAAAATAAAAGTATTTATAACTATGTTATGATAAATTTATAACCGTGATAAACTAAGATATGATAAAGTATATTTCTTTTTAAATTAATTTATGTTCTAGATTAAATTTATGTTTTATGCCAAAAGAATTGATATAATAATATATATAATTATAATAATTACATTTTTTAATAATATTGTACGCTATTATTATGTTTACAAATTATTATTGAATACAAATAATTATTTGTATTTATATAACATCATTATATTACAATCATATTTCATAATCTGAGACATATTGTTGTTATAAGTATTTGAAAATTGTACAAATAATTGAAATAAATTTCAAACCTTACAACTTATGAAACTGTTGATCAATCAGGATTGTTTAAAGCTTAACGAGCTCCTCTTACATTAATTAATCCTGCTTGATCAGTAACCGACTAACATGAGTCTGAATACTACTTGATTACCAAGTATAGACTAACTGATTGCTTCCAACTCTGATTGCTAACCAAATTCCTAATACTGATTTCAATCCTTAACTTTAGTTTTCATTAACAACTAATCATTATCTTTTGATCATAAATCTGATTATTTACGCTTGTATCCTGTTATAAAATTATTTATAAATTTTTTTCACGTAGAGTCAATTACATTTCTTCTTTTTCCTCTTATTTTTCTTACATGAATAAAAAATGGAAAGACAATTAAAGGTGACAATATTACAACATTCATTTAAAAGTTTGCTTAAGAATGATAAATTGATTTATCATTATTATTTATAGTGAAAAATAATTCCTACAATTGGATGGATTAATTTTTTTGTAAATGTGTAAAAATCAAATATACTTTTTTATGTATTAATCAATATATCTTAATATTTATCATGAAAAATTCATCTTATTTAATTTATTGATTTATATCCAAAAATCATTTAAGAGTGTAAGAGATACTTTAATTTCCATTCCATTGCTATAAAATATAAATCATTTTCTTATAAATTATAGAAGCAATAGGCATTTATCTACAAAATATATAATAATAAAATGTGCTTTTTATGATAAATTAAGATAATATCATGATAAATGAGTCTGTACGTGTTAAAAGAAATACTGAAATATTAAATCAAAATCATAAAATACTTATTCTTAATATATTTTCTTCGTTAAATTTATCTTATTCTACAGTCGAGAATTATAGATTTAGAGAAATCGCAAATTATTTAGAAATTGTAATTAAAAAAGGAAAAACATTGTCTCGAAATATTAAAAAGAAAATAAAAATTCTTGCAAACAAAAAGCATACGAAAGAATTTCTTTCTATCTCTTAATTCATTTCTACTTTATCTACTATCTACTATCTTAATACTCTTTCATAATAACTGACATACAGATAAATAATTGCTTCTCTTTCTCTTTCAAATTAGATTTTGCTCTTCTTGATATCATCCAACTATAAAACATTCTTCGATAACAAATCAAGATATAATAAATCAAGATGATTTCTACAATAATATACAAGGTGTTTAAAAAAAAAACATTTATATTAACATCATGATTGACTGGCTTCTTCCACTTGCTATTTTTTCCTTAAACTCTCGCGACTTCTTTCCAAAATTTCTGATCTTTTTTGAATGATTTTGACATGCTACATCCAGTTTTTGTGAAAAATTGTCACGAAATTATCGAATACAATATGTAAAATAATCAATGAATCAAATAATAATAATTTAAACATGAAAACATGAAAAAATAATTATAAACGATTAAATTTTACATTTAGCTTTTTTTTTTACTTACTACTACTATATATATATATCTTATGAATCTCGGGTAACTTTTCTGTTTTTCACCTTATATAAACAAATCTACGAGCGATCGTATCTCAACTTGAGACGACTTTCAACTATATAAACCAACTATAATCTATAAACGTGTCATATATGTTTTCTCTGGAACATCGATTAACGGGTCTCGTTTCACTGTGCAGGGTCAAGTTTAGCGATCCTGTTCGGATTAAACATGGCAGCTTCGTCGGTCGGAAGCGCGTTACCAGGGTGAAAGGGTGGTGTTTCACCGGGGCGCGTTTCAACGCCAGCGGTTCGGAAATTTCGTTTCACCTTCGATGCAAACGAACAGGATTTCGAAGCCGACGGTAAGGGAAAATTTAATTCGGGTCTTAACCCAGTTCCGGAAGAATGCGCACCGAGAAGGACCCGAAACGAGCGTCGATACGCTTTTGCATCCGCCGTATCGAAACAGCTCGAATCAACAAACTGAATACGTACACAGAGATTCTTGCCACTCGTGTGTCTCTTTTTTGACGAGAGAAGGGATTGTAAACTCCTCCATGTTAACTTCAACCCCTGATAAAGATGACTCTGATGTTAAAGGAGTTCAAGTTCGAGTTCAGAAAATTCGAAGTTTGAAAGAAGTTTCGTTCGGAGACAAATTGACAACAAGCTTGAGATGTTACAATAATTCGAAGATTCTATCAAATTTAAAGTATGTAAAAGAGTTTTGATTTTTCTTCAATTTTTATTCCTCCATGAGACACGTAATATCGATAATATCATTAAAATATCGATAACAAATGAAAGTAACTATAAGAGTTATTTCTATTTCTTCTTATTCAAATTTATTATTAAAGTTATTGTTAATAGAAATAGCTTAAGTAAACTACGGTATAATTTTTCGATAAAATGTATTTATTTTTATTACAAATAATACTTTTATCTTAATAACAATTTTCAATAAGAAGAATATAGAAACTCTTAATGATATCAATAATCAATAATCACAATTCTAAATAAAGAACTATCAACCCTCTGATTACATATCTCACCAAATCTAAGAAAAATTCCTCGAATTGAGTTGAAGAGGAAATACACAAAAATATCAATATTCCCCAAGAAAACGGATCTGCGATTTTATAATAAATTTTTACGAGTGTAGAAAATTGAGATTGGAAAATGTCGTTTCAAGATCACGTTGGAAACCATGCCGAAATATTCTAAGAAATATAGAATCCCAAAGGTCCTTCAAGTACTCCAAGTTTCTCTTAAAAACGACAACTGTCCTCTCGCAACTTCACTTTACATCCTTTTATTAAGTGTCTTAACAATTCTCTTCCCACGCGACACGATACTAGAAGTAACATTGGAAGAATTAACGACGTTCCCTTGGGTAATCTTTCGCGAAACTATTATACATATTGTACAATTAATACTATTGTACCAGCTTAGACGGTAGAATCCCTAATTATTTTCACAGTCGTGAAAGCTATCCAAGTTGGCACGTGGAGGGAGGGGATCTCTGCACAAGTCTGTAAGCACTCACTTGTTTCGAGAACAGCGATGCGGCCGGAAATGAAGATCTCCACTGTTGTTAAGTTTACCCTACTAGCGGAAGGAAAGTAAATAGAGCGATTGTTTGGGATTGAAGATTATCTTTAACGTGCTATGTGACATGTAAGTTGCGATACGATCAACTTATACATTGATAATAAATTTAAATCAAATCTAAAATTGGTTCTTTATATTTATTATCGACTTTTCGAATGAAGGTTTGGAAGTTTAATAAAATTTGAAAAATAATAAATTTTTACAATAAATTTAAGAAAATTATATTAAATTTATTAGATAAAGAAAATTAAGAGGATAGTTATTAAGTAATTTATTAATCTACTATTGGATTATGCATAAAAATAACTATTGTGAAAAATAACTGACTTTAAATGAATAGAGAATATGTAATAAGATAGATATTTGAAGTTTTAAAACTATTTAAAATTCTATTTAAAAATAGATTTTTTTTTTCACTTCTGAATTCATGAAGGCTTCTGTCGTGATGAGCTTTTAGTGAAAATAAAAAGCTCCTTCTCTTTGAAATATTTCTAAAAAATTCGAATGCAATCTGTTAACCCTTTCGCAATCTCAAGAGAGATTTGAAGAAACTTTAAGAATAATTCTACATTTTTCATAATTTAAATGTTACTACAATTGTTACAATTATTACAATAATCACGAAAAATCGAAAGAGTATTATACTTTCTTGCATTTGACATCAAAACATTCAAAAATTTCGACGATAAATTATTCTAAAATTCTTTGAAACTTTATTACATTGTCAGAAGGATTAATCTATTATACTTGCGATTTACTTGATTAATCGTAGCTGAAGATTTAACTGTAAAATTAAAGCTGAAGATTTAAAAGACAAGGAAATCTTCCCGACAACCTATTCGTTAACCTTACAGAATTACGTATTATTCCAGAATTATAAAGAATTTCCACGAAGAATTCTCTTTACGATTACTCGATTAAACTGCCGAATTATTCCCCAATTTATCGCACGTACAATTGTAATCATAAAATATCAATAAACCTTTTTGCTCGATATGATTTCCATTTACCATCATCTGTTAATTAATCGAAGTGTTAATTAACACGTACCCTCATCGATATCGACCAGGAAAATGGCGGTATATAATATAATTTCTCAGTTGCGTTAAGCTTACAGGTTTACATATTCGATCACTAACACAGAAATACCACAATAGAAGGAAAACGTTTATGTATTATTTACACATTTACTACAATTGTAAACGTGGAATGTTGGTCACTTCAACGACGCGACGTTGCGATAAATTACCAGAAACGAGAACACAAACGGAACATTGTTTATTCATTTCGTCCACGACCATTAACGACAATTTTTCCATTATTCCTATAATATTTAAATCGAAATCGTATCGATAACATTGGTGATGAAAGGCGAAAACAAAACATTGTAAATAAAATTTATTTCCCGAATCGACCGACATATAACCCGGTTCCAATCATCGCAATCATTGACGTTTGGTAAACGGTGTCGAGTGATTGACCGACGCGTTATTGCCATTTTTCGGATGATGCAAATACGTTTGAGGGGAAATTTTCGAAAACGTAACATTGTTGTTGTATTCTCGTGTAATCGTCGTGTCGATCGTGATATCGATAACTCGCAAATTGAACTGCAATCTTTCTCTCTCTCTCTCTCTCTCGTAAATGTCTTGAAAGCTCTCATTCTACTTTTGTCCCGTTCGTTTCTTCACCCATCATTTTACATTAACGAACCGGCTAGAGAATTACGAGGCAAAGTCCCCGCCTGTCGTCAAAGAAAATTTCCATTCCGATTTTTCTTCCGCCTTGTTAAACCCTTGCAAATCGTCGAGATCGAATAAAGCACTTCCCTGACGAACGTCGAACTGGATTTTCCTTCGCGAAATCACATTAAACAATATTCCTTTTGATATTTCAGGTACCGTTAAAACGTTCGGTACATTTCACGCAATTTCCACAAAGGGGAAAGGGGGAAACTGGTTGTTCAATGCTAGGTGTTCCCTCGACCACGACGGATGAAAAGGCTTCGTCCAAGTTTTTCAAATTCTTTTTTTGGCGGCCGCCGACATTTTGTCTGAAAAATCCATCCACTATAAATTCTAAGACGTCCCACTCGTTTCGAAATTCCCTTTGATATCTGAAATGTCAAACACCAACTTAATGAGCCGAGTCGAGCCCATCACTACGTTTTTCGACCACTCGGCACAAAGAAAACCGCATTTTCCCTTCGTCGACGAGGCCAGTCTCGACTCGAATTGTCTATCGATCATCGAAAAAAATAGCATCCAATGGGGAATCGAAACAAACACGAAATTTAATTAACTTTCTGTCTGTTAAATGTTTTTTCTCTTATTCGTGAATTAACGATCACGAGGCAAAAGCTTTCAATGGTGTGGAAAAACAGTTGACAGTAACATAATAAAGTAAAAGTAACTAAAACGATAGAACTTTATACGTTTATTATATTAATCGTGAAATCTTAAAGTAAATCGTTTCGCAAAACGATAACGATGAATTATTATTACGCATTATTATAAAATCGAACATAAATGGTAGACAATTAAATGTAGAATAAATAATTTATTTATTCTAATATTTGATAACAAGTTTGCAAATTAATTTGAAGATATTTCTTAATTTTTTTTTTAGAATTAAATTAAAGAATTAAAGAATTGATTTTATTAATTGTTGTTCTATGTATTATTTTTTTCTGGAAAAATTGAAAAAAAATGAGAGAGATATCAATTAAAATAAAATAAAATATATGAAATTATATAAGATAAGATAGATTATACTAATTTTCTCTTTCTAATTTTTCATAACATAACATAACTTTATATAAATGTCATTTCATTAGTCTCTGATTAGATAACCACTAGCTTTGTAGAACGTAAATAGATAAATTATATTGTTTCGCAAAATACGTGACTCACATCAATATTCACGCATTATGATGCGAAAGATTTTTTCTTTTTACATTTTTTATAATAGTTTATTAAATTAATTGTTTTTACTATTTATATAGTTAGTAAAAACTAGTTAATAAATTTTAATGTACATAAATTTGCACTAAATGATGAATTAAATAACGACAAAAAGTATGACAAAATATGTATGCATGATGATTTATTGTTTATTTATTGTTATTTAAGAATAAAATTAATAAACAAATTTGCGAATATTAATTAATTAGAAATAACAAAAAAATTTTTTTTTTATTTTTAAATCTAATCCAGCTTAATTTAAATTTAAAATCTAAATTTAAGTTTTATCTTAAAAATTATATTAATTTAATTACTTCTGTATTTCTTTTTTAATTTTAAAAAAAAATAATCTTTTCATCTATAATTGGCATAAGATTTTATCCCATTCTTAAAACGAAACATTAAAATTACGCTCGTTGAGCATACATCCTCCTGCAACTCATCAACCGATTAAGAATATTGAAATCAACTGAACGTGCGAAATCTACTCGACGATTTTAAAATTGGAGGATTTTACGTGCGAATAAACCAAAACTCCTAATTTCTTCCAATAACACGTATAATTCAACATGAGCATGAAAACAAGAATGATTCCATTCTCTCGCCGTGACACCTCGTTTCGACACCTCGAAAACATTTCTTTTTTGCTCCACGTTTCCTCTTTTCAATATTTTCACACAGTTTCGCACGAGAAAGAAAAAAAGAAAAAAGATAACGAAGAACTCGTTTTCACACCTCACTGTTAATACTGCGCATCTATTATGAAGTCAGTAAGTAAACCTTGCACCTTCGAACAATTAGCGTCACAATTTCCCTAGACCAACGACATTAATAACAATGCAATTACAGCTCCGTTTTCATCACCGAATGCAATAACTCTTGTATTCAAACTCTATTAGAAGAAATTACAAACAGCACCGGCGATAAATTTTCCGAGAAAAGCCCCATGCATTATTTACTTTGAACATGGAACATTGTGAAGGGCCAATAAAAAACGATATAAAAGTGGCAATTTTTACCATTTACGTGAAAGAAATTTTAAATAGATTTGATTACTTGTATTCCAATTGAGTTTCTCTTACTTAGAATCATATTTCATCTCATCTATGAACATATTAATGATGTGTAATATGATTGAATATGTTTGATATATAATAAAATAGAGAATTAATTCGATAAATTCGATAAATATTACAACAATATTTATTTTCGTATCTTTTATTCTATAAATATATTCTATAAATATATGAATAATATTATTAAATTGTTTAAATTGTATTGTTAAATAAAATTAGTATACAGCTTGATAGTTTTATCTATCTTATGGAACTTTTTCTAATAAACATTTTAAAATAATTTATTTCCTTGAAACTTTTATTAAAAGATTTTAAAATATCTATCCCACGAGGATACAAAAGCTTCTTTCCTTAAAAATTCCACAAAATCAAATATTCTCTTAATACTTAAATAAATTCGAATAGAAAAATTTATTTACAAATAACAAAAGAGAATCGTTTGTTATCCGATTATATATTTCAAAGAAAATATTTCTATATAAAATTCTATAATATGAAACTTCTAAGAAATTAGAATATCTCTTCTCTGTCACAAAATATTTATCCAAATTCACGTACTAACTAAATTTTATCTAAATTCCAAAACTATCGTCTTCCTTCCAAGCTTTAAAACATCTGACATCTCCATAAATTCACACCGAATTGGTACACAGTTCATCGTTTTTTATAGCACCACGATTCCCGATGATTCGATTTCACGAAGAGAAAAGAGACGTGCAGAGGGCAAAAACCTGTGGACGATGCGGAGGGTGTATTTAAGCCACGCGACATTGAGCGTCGGAGTGTTGCTGGCAAGCTTCCACCGGAAAATGAAATTCTCGGAGTTCGCCGATATTGAACGAACCACCCCTAATGGGAAGTAGAGGAAGCCGAAAAGGAATCGCGACCTATCCTCTTCAAGAGTGTTTCTGCAACGCGCCATTTGTCAATTCTGTAAGTCGATCGAACATCTTTTGTTCTGTTAAATAATTGTCCGACTCGTCTATGGTTATTTCAAGCGCATGGATTGTTTTATTTATTTATTTTTTTTTAAAGTCGCCTTTTCATTAATCAATAAAAGAAGAATTAATTGTTAAAAGAGAACATTGTATATTTATCGACTAATAAATATATTGTTAAATATCTCAAATACTTTGGCATGTATTTTAAATAATACACAGGATATTCCCTGTGTATTAGTTGAATATTTGAAAACTAGGGCGGAATAAAACGTAGGAGTAAAATTCTTTCTTGCTATTCGTAACTTCTGAATAAAAATTTTTGTAATATTTAGACTGCATTATTTCTATTGATTTTATAAATTTTTATTCGCTAATTTAATGTTGATTTCAAATAAAATGTTTCTATTATCTAAAAATAATTTTGGATTTGAATTAGATTAAAGAAAATTATTTTAAAATATCAATGAATTTTAACAATTAAAAAATATTACAATTAATGCTATTGTAATATTAATTATTGTAACATAATTAAAAAGTCGCAAATTACGTTGAAAAAAAAGAAAAAAATTAAAATCTCTGGCAACAACACCATCAAAAATTAATTTTAAGAAATAATCTTTTCCATACGAAATCTGAAAGATTAAATTTTCTTTTAACAATACAGAATGATGATCATACAACGATTTCTCCGTTCCATTAAACACGTTTTGCATAAAAATCCACAATCTGCTGATAACTTAAACCGCCATAATATCTCGATTAAAATCGTATTAAAAGTTCTTCTCGCTTCCATTTGAAATAAAGGACAACGCACCCTTACCAATCCATACCAAGTCCCTAGAAACTATCTGACTTGATTTAATTTTTTATCCAATTTGATAAAAAAAAAAACCGAAATTCTTGAATTCCAATCAAGTTCCGAATTCGAAATTTTTAGCGACGAAAGAAACGAACGAAGGAAAAAAGGGGACGAAATAATAAACGGCGTGCACGATGAAAAGAAACGAAAACACGTTAAATAAGAATGGAGAGAAGGGGCGAGCATCGCATTTATTATTTACTTCGTAAAACGGATGTGGAAGCGCGGCTAAGACGAGTTCATTTACGAGTTCCCAAGATACGACTTCCTTTTCTCCATCTCTGTATATCGCGAAGAAAAAGTTAAGAGACCGAATATCACGGATAGACAGGAAGGGAAGAAGAGATACTACCAATCAGGAGTTTGGGATTTCAGCCGTGGGATTTTGTTAAAGGAGTTTGCGAGCGAAAACCGGGATACGTCGTCGAATATCGAAAAATCTGTAAACAACGTAAAACCTCTCCCTCTTTCTTTGAGCGAGGTGTGTATATATGTACACCCTCGACGTGCGTGATCTTATGCGGAAAACAGGGGACTCGGATTTTATCGTGATAAAACAGTATCATTAGAGGATATCTCGAGATTTCGCGGCTAAGCTGGCGATGTCGCGTTAAGCGGATCAACGATATCGATTTTTAACCCCTGGCAAGCCTGGGGATATGTGGCGAAATGATAAATTTCTCTTGTGGAAAAGAGAAAACTTGTTAAAAATGAAGTGAAATTGATCTGTTGGCTTTCGTAATTTGTGTCACGTTGCTTATACGCGAAAGAAGGACGAAAAAAATATTATACGCTGTGCCTTTCTCGCCTACTAATAGCCCGAGGATGAAGATTCAAAGCTTTGTCTCTCTTATTTTTTCCCGTTATCATCGTGACTTCTCGTTTTGATATATTTTTGGCACAATTACGATATAATGATGCAATTTAATCGACGAATTTCCCTTATTTTAGTAAATAAAAAGTGTGATGATAACGCGAATTGTGTATATTGATTTAAATTCAAACAATTGTAATTATTCATAATTGAATTAATGATTAAACCTTTGTATATTTCGATATACATATCTCTATATAAATGTATCGCTTTATAATGTTAACTCGTTAATATACGTGTATTAATGTAATGTACAATACGTGGATTATATATGGATGTAATCATGGAAGAATCGATTCTTTGAAAAGGGGAAACAAACGTTAAAAGTTAATATAGAAAAATGTCAATCAAGGTTTACTAAGTTATTAAGTTATAAAGCAATTGAAGTTTGTGTTAAACGAAATAGAATAAGATCGTTCTATCTTTGTTAAACTGTCATCACACTATTTTCTCGCCTCGTTTCATCTAACGCAAACTTAAATTGCTTATAACTTAATAAATATATAACTTATAACTTAATAAATAAGCCTCGACCGACATTTTTGTATTGCAACTTTTGCGTTTGATCTGAATCCTATAAAATATACCCACCAAAGATATTCTATGAATATATTAACATATGTTATATTATAATCTTATGTAACATGGAAGCATTCGCGTATCAAATATTACATAGATCGTTGAATATGATTATTATATTATCATAGTATCAAAGTAAAAAAGAAAAAAATAAATATTAATTTAAAAAAAACATGACATTTTATGACATTATTCTAAATTTAAAAAATTTTGAAAATAAAAAAATTGTCATTTTACTTTGTAGAAAAAATGTTGAAGCTTTTTCATTTCTCTTAAATATCTATCATTTGCGAGAAAAATGTTGGGAATATAATAGTATAATATTTAAATTATAATATTTCCCTCTCACGATGAAATTAAAAATTTAATTAATTTAAATTAATATAAACTCTACAATATTTAACATAATGCATAATTAAAATAAAGCAGAAAAGAAATTGCTCATATTTACATAAACTGTAACTGTATAATCATCAAATATGGAGAGAATTAAAATTAGCAAAGCATTCTTTCATTGTGTATCTGGTTACACATAAATCGTTATTATTTAATCAAATCAGTTCTTCAAGGATCATAACGCTAATGCACTGTCAAAGGATAATTAATTAATTAAGACACGAGAGTCAATTGTCATGCCTCAGAGAAAATTTCTCAAAAGTTGGAATATTGTTTTTAAGAAAACTGATTAATCAAAAGATCTTGAGAGACTCTCCACTAACTAAGAAACTGATTCCTGCAGTAGAAGAAAACGAAGTTCAGACAAAGATTCAACTTGAGTTCAATTCAGTAATTCAGTTTAGTAAAGTTATGCGGCCATACGGCAAAGTCCACTCATTGTTGATTTAGTATAGTCTCGATAGGGAGACATAGTCGATAATTCGGTTAGTCTCGTTCAAGAGACTCGGAATCAATTAATTCCAATCAATCAGAATCAGAATTGGATATCCTTGCGATACTAGACGACGTGTAATATTCAATACCTGCAACTTGTCTTGTAATTTTAATATTATTTAAATCTCATATGCAATAAATAGAATATTTCATCAATAAATCGTATTGATAAAAATAAAATATCACATAACACGAAAAATTGTAACAAAAATATAAAATGTGTTGTAAATATTTTCTTTAGTGAAGTATTTTTTTTTATAAAATTCTATATTTCATTTTTATAATATCAAATTTTTGTAAACATAAGAAAATACTACAAATTGATATAAAATATCATATATTTGCATCTAATTAATAAATATGTACATATTATAATAAATATAATGACGTATAAATATTTTTTGCAGTCACTAAATATTTCCATTTCAAAGTTTAACTTCTTTCTTATTATTTATATCACACCCAACATGTCTTATATCGATTATTGATTTAATTTTGTTATACTTCTATTTAATTTTTTCACAATATTGAAAAGAAATTAGAATCAATATTTTATCACTATAATCAATATACAAATAAAAAATATCTATATATCTTGTATCAACGAATAAACGTATTTACATATCTTATATTATCTCTGTATAATAGAACATCGATTATCCAAAGTAATTAGTATACATTATTAGATAGGTAAATACGTATAATCTATTCGTATTATCTAAATGGATATATGGATCATACTATATTAAGATAACTAAATAATCGATATTCTAGAATTTGGACAATAGATGTTCTACAATGTCGAACTGACAAGAGAGAAAGTGTATTATCATATTTTTGGCAGTATAACTATTCAATAAAGAATTTATGGACTTCTAGTTACACGACATTATAGTTTTACTTTTATCAGAAAAACTTATCGCCATAAGTTTGCACGAAAAAAAACTTGGATCATCCTTTGTTATATCTATCTATACCTAATATATATCTAATATATATAATATATATCTAATATATATTGAAGACAAAGAAATGTGAAACATTTTCGTAGAGAATTTGAATAAGTAATTAATTAAAAAAAAGAATAGAAAAGAGAGACCTACCGTTATAAAGATAAAATAGATATGAGAAAGTCATTGGTGTCATTTCAATGGGGGTTAAATTCAGTCAATCATTTACCATTCGAGCATCGTCCCCGAAACGCGCAATCGTTTCCCACGTGGGCTCTCAACTCTCTCGAGACTCGTTCCTCAAACATATTTGCTCGAAAATGTACACACACAAGGCGGATATCGACGGATACGAATATACAACATAGTTTGGCGAAATGCGGGCCGGAGACAGAGAAGAGGACACAAATATTCTGGAATATTTTCATTGGAAAATATAGTGGGAGCAGTAGACACATTTTGCGTGTACAAAATCCTTGGAAACATGGGAATGATGCATTCTAAATCTTATTACCCGGCGCTCTCCTTCCTTCCCATTCTTTCGTTCCGATCGATTTAGGCGTTTCGACGATAAACACGGTTAACCTTGCTACCGTATTCGATATCGATTTTCTATACGATGCATCGGCAATTTCAATCGTTGAAAGTGTAAAGAAGGAGCATGATTTATGGACGAATTTAAATAAGAAATACGCGAGCATGTATTGCTCGTACGGATATCAAAGATAGATAGGATTAAGGTGAGGATCGTTTTCGAAATTGTCGAAATTTCCATACAGGAGAATAATTTTGAGATTTATTCGTTTTGTCATTTGAGATATGGTAAAAATTGCGCTTGTGATTTATTAAATTTAACGTGTGATCATATCGCATTGAATTATTTTGCATTTCTGATTTGAATTTTTCTTAAAATTATAAAAAATTGAAACGAATGCTGACAATTTTAATAATTATATCAGTTTTTTTTTTACAACTTTATAAACTCAAGATATTATTTTTATTTGTATTGCAATTTGTAAATGCTTTGACAATGATGTTAACTCGTTTACGCGAGTTTCCTCTATAAATTATAATTGAAAATCTTATAGCAAAAGAGACAAGATAAATTCAGACCACTTTTGAATTATTACGCGTGATATTACGCATTGTTTGGTGAAAGTTTTAGTTTGCTGATCAAATAAAAGATAAAATTTATTGCAAATGTGTATTTATGTTCTCCTATTATATTCATTGTTCAATAGAATAATACAGAATAATTAGTTATTTTTTATTGTCTATGAAAACTGTCAATGTTTTTTTTTTCATTTTTTATTGATAAAACAATAAAGCAATAAATCAATGAACTACGCTTCTTTTCTTATTCATCGTTATACAAAATAAACATAGAGTTTAACTCCAAATTTACTTATCAATAATATCTGTATAAATATATTTTATAAAAAAAATCTTTTCTATAATTTTTTCTTAATCTTTATCCTACAATTTCTATTTGTTTCTATTAAAAACGATTGCATTAGGCGAACCAAAAGAACGAACTATGGTTATAAAAGAAAGGATGATCAGTGACTTCTTGGCAAATACCTTTCTATTTCGTCTGTCGAAATTCGCGGGAGAAGGATATATACCACGAATCTGTCGATACAATTTCTCAGTCTGGCGGAGCAATTTTTCGTCCGATCGAGCATACAACTAAAGAAAACAGACGGCGATTGTTTTCTCGTAGTTTCTTCGACGAAAATTTGTAAAAATAATCGGACAACCATTTCATCGTTACAGATTTTTCCCAATGTCCTCCTATTCCAAAATTTTGCGAGATGCTCGATACTCCCCCCTCCCCAATAATTTTATTCTCGAATAGCCGTGTAAGCATCGTAGCTTACGCTTTAGTTTATATTCATGAAATGAGGTAACGATGTTCACGATCTTTATAAAAGCAGCATTGCTGCTTCGTTAGTTACGAAACGGCATTTACGAGCCACCAGAGATACTGAGAAATGGTTACCTTCTTAAAAGGTAACAGAGAAAGCTCGACCCTTGAAGTAGAAATTTCAACGAGAAGAAAGGAAAAATTCAACTTTCATACGAGGTATAATTCCATTAAATATATTTGATACAAGAGATTATTGTAATCAAGTTGTTTTCTTAAAGAAAAGTAAATTGTTGATAAGTCGAGCAATTAACAATTTATCTAAATTATGGCATATTATCTGTATAATCCTTCACAGACTTAGAATCAAGATTATTATAAAAGATATTAACAATAACGATTGTAGAGAAATGGTCGAAAGCAATTAATCTGTCGTTTTTTTTTTTCGGATGATTCGTGACAGGAATTAGAATTTAGGAAGTATTTAGCAAGCAATTGATTAATGATCATGTTAAATCTTTTCAATTAATCGAAGACATATTGTCTATGAAAGTTAGAAATAGCAAATAACTCGATGTTATATTATCTATTTAAATGAATAATATAATGTTTTTAGAAGATCTTATAGTCATAGAAATATTTAATTATTCATAATATTTATTTTCACACAATATGGAACAAAATAATTATCTTGCAATTTAAAAAAAAGAAATATTTTTTATCAGAGACATGAATGTGTAATTTCATTATGAAACTTTAATGTTCAGAAAATGATTATTAAGATCAATATTTATTTCAAACTTCAATTTGAAATAATGTTTCATTTATTGAATTTAATTTATAAAGGAACAATGTTTACATATTATTCAAACAAAGAATTCATATATTTGTACTATTGATATAAAGAGATTTTAATATAAATCTATTTTGATCTATTGTTAATACTGTAAAATACTAAACAATAATAAATATTATTGAACGATATAATTCTATACAATTACAACATCATTTTCTCTGATTGTAGAATTGGAAAAAAAATTTCTAAATAGAGTCATGGACTGAAGCAGAAATTTTAAAGTCAAGATAGTGCTTCGAAAGTTGATGGAAATGCAAAGTCTAAATTAGAGGAAACATTTCTCGCGAGCTGTTGATAAGAGTATTACATTTCCTTAAAAAAATATTTTCTTACAACCTCATTAATATATAGAGAATATTATACGTAATTTTAAAAGAAATTTTCTTCGAAAATTCGAAAATCTAAACTGATTTTGAAAATGAATACTTTCAAGATTCAATGATTTACAATTAAATGAAAAGTGGAATCGTTACAAAAAAATATATTACTAATATATTCA